CATGTATAACTTAAAACTCTATTCGTGTACACAGGAGAGCCGTATTTAATCTGAGTAAATATTTTCGTTTGTTTTAAAAACGTACTCACAAAAATTGGAAGCAGCTGCAAGCAATCAGAATATCCTGCCCTGCTACTTTGCAAACGTTCGACCTTCAAATCCTCTGCATGCATCTCATGATCTGAAGCGAGGATATCTCGGGAGCATGAAAGTTCCAACTGACGTCCTTGACGATGTGCAAACTCCAGCGAATCTCAAAACAGACAAGACCTCATGGTAGGATGGAAAGAGTGTTAAAATATGCCATTAACAAAAATTTTGAAAGTAAAATAAAACACTAATCAGGTTACGCAACTTTAAAAAATAATTAAGTTGAGACGGCAATAGAATAGAATTCTGAATTAGCTGGCAGTCGTGTAGTTGCGTTAAAAAACATTTCTAAAGAGAAGAAAATTTTTGGCAAAAGTTCATTTTAAAATGTAATTTAATATTTTCTTGGCAAAAAGCGCTTGTTTCTTCCAAAAGAGTTTGGTTTTCAAAGTTATTTGAAATAATTTAACAACAACAATAACAACAACATCATGCCAATTGAACTGATGCAACAACAACAACATAAACAACTGTTAGAATGTGAAAAGTTGACGTTCATTCATTATATTAAAATATTAATAATTGTTTACTCCAATGCCAGTCGCCTCCAGTCGTTCGGATCATTGAACGAAACATTCAAAACACTGGGAAATAATTTTCATTGAAGACAAAAAACTTATCTTCATTAGTAACTTACAAGAGAAATATTAAAAAGTTAGTTAGTTTACTCTTAATTAATTCACAATATCAACAACACACACACAAACAAACAAACGAACAAATACACGCGAATGAATCTACGGATCAGACAGACACAATGACATGGGATAATAGGTTGGGATCTGTTTATATTTGAAACTGGTTCCTGCAACAACAGGACCAGGCGTATCACCCACCACCACCACCACCACACCATCTCGTAAGTCATTAGTGATAATTTGTTTTACTCTGATCAAACATCAGAGCCGACAACATCAAAGGCATTATCATTGCGAAGATTATTGTCGTAATCACCATAACTACCACCATCATCACTGTTCCTCAAATAACTGAATGTTTTGATTAATATGAGCGAGCAATGCCCAAATAACTTTACATTTTTTTATTCATCATCATCTCAATAAGTTATGAATCATCTTTTTCAACATAGTCTACATCTACAATCAATACCATCGTAAATGAACTTCTTAGTATATATTTAGCCTCGTTCTACTACCGTTTCCAACATCATCATAAGGCAGGTTATCACCATCCAGGTTATCACCATCAATGTTATCACCATCCAGGTTATCGAGAGATCATCCTTCCAACCTTCACTATCGTTATAATTATCATCAACAGCAGCAGCAATTCATAATCATCATCACCTTCATCATCTTGCGACAGCAGCAAACATCTTCCGACACGGAATGATCTGGACGTGTGCACGTAAATCACAATGGCGAACATCAATGATGAATAATGTCATCTCCAGGCTTTGCGCAAGAGCGTGTGAGGTGTGAGTGTTTGTGCGCGTGTGTGTGTGTTTACGTGTACGTGTGTTTGTGTGCGTGTGAACGTGTTTGCGTGTATGCGCGCGCGTGTGTGTGTGTCTAGATTTCACACATACATATATTTTATAAAATAAATAATTATTTGTGTATATTTATGGATGCTTTATGTGTGTGTTTTTGTCACGGAGTTGTTGTCATGGAGTTATGTGATGTTATGTGATGCGTGCTAACAGATAACATCAGATCAGGGAATTACGGAAATCAGTATAACAATAAGTTTTGCATAATAAATGTCATGGCAATAATAACGATGATAACAAAGAATGTTACATAGGAAAAGTTGACCAAATGTTTTAGTGCATCGGTTACAGTTGCGGGGTAGTGCTGAATGTCGCTTAACTCCAAGAACCCAATTCAAATGGCTGAATACATTAAACTTTACAAATATTTGTTTAAACAGATAATAAACCTTTCATTGAAATGTAGAAACACAAATTAAGACAAGAACATTAGGCAGAGTAGAGCGCAGGACGAGAAAAAACTTTACAAAAATTAGCATAACACGCACGCATGTCACACAACACACGCACTCACAACACACACACAACACACACACATACACAATACACACACAACACATGCACAACACACACAATTTAACTCACATGCCTGCAAAATAACACGTATGAACGTCGTATTCACCTTCGTGCCAGTGCCATAAACACAGTCACTCAAGACGACATACACGCAGCAACGCAACACAACACACACACACAAACAAACAAACACACACTCAAACACACACACAAACAATCACACACACCTAAGCAGAACAACAAGCACGTATGTTTTATCACGTACACATAGTTCAACACAAAGTCATCTCTAGACATAACAGTTATTATAGTAAGAACATTCGATTCAAATTGTTATAAAAATTATAACTTCAGAAATATAACAAACAAACCACCTTGAACATTGACAACAGAAACCAAGCCGATATAAAAATTCATTAATAAAAAAATTCATTCCAACATCTCTCTCCACAACTTAAAAATGAAACATCTTGAAACAACTTCATACCTGCGAAGTTGAACATGTCGACACTTGAGCTTGCGCGCCTTTACTGTTCCATGAGAATTTTATATATATTATATTTCTGAATGAGTTTGTTCGATTTTTTTATCTACTTAGTCATTATTTTGATAAACTTCGAATGTTAAAATGTCAACGACCTTTCTTTCCGAAATATAATTCTTCACGTTGTTATTTGCAGTGCGTGTGTTTATCATTCTTCTGTCATCATATCATGTCGGTGTCATTCATGTTGATGTCATGTTGATGTCATTCATGTTGATGTCATGTTGGTGTCACATTTGTGTTGTAGATGATTTTATTTTGCTTGCATTTTGGATCTAAATTTTTGACCAAATAGAACATTATCCATGCTACGAGTTACACAGAAAAGAATAAATTCACTCCATGTTTCATCGAATAATTTTTTAATTAAATCAAATTAGTCATTGCTTAAAAGAATGTTTTAAATGAATTTTTATGAAAAAAGCAGCCTTATTAATCCCATGTTCGATTCTTGAACTGTTAATTCTGTTTTTTTTTTGTCATAGTGAAATGGATTTGCAACATCATTCTCACCTTATTATCGTTGTATTTTTTCACGTAAGTATCTGATATTGTGTCTATGCCAAAAATATTTTAATCATTATAATAATTCATCATCATTATTTTCATCCATTATCGTAATTTTTTCCAATTTGTCATCATTTCGGTCATCTTCATAATCGTACGTCGTAATTACAGAAGACTGCATGTCATGTCGGTATCATTTAGTTACTAACATTTTATATACACTACTAATTTTAATATTATGGATATCATTTTTATCAATATCATTATTATCATCATCAGTGATTTATTTTTTTCATGTTTTTCTTATCACATCACATCGACATAACGCCATTATCACTTCAACATATCTTCACATACACACACATACAGACAACACAACACACACAACACACACACAGACACACGTACACACAATTTAACTCACATGTCTGCAAAATACATCATAACTATGCCCTAATCACAACATCATCACATAACTGTCACATCATTGTCGTATCACTGTCACGTCTCTCCCCACGAACATATACAATAATTTGAAAGATCTCTTGCCATAATGTCACGATCATGTTGACGACAATGTTGTTGTTGATGGTGACGAAGATGGCGATGTTGGTGATGATGATGTTAATGATGCTGTTGATGACGACAATGTTGACGATGACGAATATGATGACGATGTTTATGATGACAGTGATGGCAAAGATGTTGATAATGACGAAAATGGAGATGTTGATGATGATACTGATCATAACAATAGATAGGAAGTTCTCACTGAAATATGTTTTTTCCAATTTTATTTAATGTTTTAACTTTCAAAGCATTTTTATGATAACCATTGATTCCCATGTTGTAGAAAGTATGGAAAATACAATTTTAGAACTGAATATATTTTTGACGTGCAGTTTCATTTTAATCTGGCTCATATTTTGAACTAAACATTTGACTAGACACTGAATAAAATTTTATTTTTATTTTCTAAACCGAACAAACGCCGGCCAAAGACGACATCATCCTTGTCATAACTTCATCATCATTGTCATGACTTCATCATCATTGTCATGACTTCATCATCATTGTCATGACGTCATCATCATCATCAACGTCATCACTGATTTACTCCGGGTTCCAAATGTAAATTGACGCGACTAATATAACCTAAATCATTTTTACTTATTGTTGGAATGAAAAAAATTAAAAGAGTTACTCTTTTCATTTTTACCGTGCTAAAAAACTTTCATAATGTCATAATGACAAAAACTTTAATTTTCAAAAATATAACAGTAACACAAGCTATTTTGAATAATATCAAATATCCTTATTTTCCTTTCAAAATAATGAGCGTAACATCTGACCAGCATTGCAATTATTATCATATGTTACACGGAACTCGCAAAATAACTTAAATTGTTTACGATAACCTTACTACAATTGACACAATTAATTAATCAACTACAACATCTTTCAGTTGCCGGGTGCAACATATTGCAACAAAACAAGCAGCACTATGGCGCGTTGAAAAAACACAACGATGACAACAACAAAACCAAATCCTAATCAAAATGTTTTGTCTTGCAGTATAATCTCCTCGTTGCAGTGGCGAGACAATCGCCACAACACAAGAAAACCAGCCACGTCCTTCCAAAAATTGCAATTACGGTCCTAACATAACAGGACACTGCCAGACTCGTAAACTGAATATTAATGACTGCAACGTTGGCCGTGCCGTTAATACGCAGAACAGATGCATAAATGCCGCATTATTGTCTTTCAATGGCTCGCCTTCTCGTCTGCGGCCAATCTGATTGCCAGGCTTATTTACAACCATCATTTCAATTGCAGGTATTAACGTGACTGTCCTGCATGAAAAACACTAATTAATTTGTTTCTTATTTATGTGGCCTCTATTGTTGGACCGCACAATGTTATTCCTCTTATTGCTGGCTCCCATCTTACTAGTTCTATAACAACGTTAGCAATAATAGCAACGACAATGACAATAATAGCAGCAAAAACAACAACTGTTAATGACACAAAACTGTGAAACCTTTTTGCTCTTTGCATTATTTTCAGAAATGCGATTGATGCTTCGCTTTGTTAAAAATTAGTGTTTCAAAATGCGAACTACTTTTGAAACTCTGCAACTGATCTCAGCCTAAACTTTCAAATCAATCGGCACCGAGTTTCAAGATTTGACTGAAGCAGCTGGATAAGTTTTCACCCCAAAATGAGATTTTTTAAAAGATATGCACGCCCTGCAGGTCTCAATCGACGCCAGTCACTAAATTATTCAACTTTTTCTTCATTTTTATTTTAAATTCTATGCTGTGCTCCACCGACAACCAATAACATTTAGAGATATGCTGTCAGAGTTGGAAACCCAAGCTATTAATCTGACTGCGCAGTTCTGAACCGTTTGAATGAATGCCAGATGACACTTGTTAGTGCCATACAAATGAGTTGCAACTTCCCTCTAAATCGACTCACCCCTTATCTTAAACAATTGATAAAATATGGCAAAGTGAATTAACCAAATACATCCTTTCTTAATGTTTGCTATGTAGTAGATTATATAATTTAAAATTTCTGCAAATAAATACATTGCGTTTAATATGACCAAGTAAATGTTTATAGCCACACCATGCAAATAATCACAGTATTTCGTACAAATTACTATATTGTGATTGAAGTGAGATGAAACATTTTTGTTGTTTCTTGGCGGGAGACATACTCGATAGTGAAAACTTTGCTAGTGATAAGGATTAATATGGTATACAAATTTGTAAACATAAAACTAGAAAATGTTTCTTTCAGCCTCTTCAACATTATTGTTATTATTACTATTATTATTTTGAAATATTCAAAATTAATAATTAATACATTTGAAATTTCGCCTTTGGGTATCTTTAAACCTTTTAAATTGTCATTAATTAACTTTACATGGACTGATCAATTTCTTAACAGTTTGATTAATTCAGCTATATCGTCATCGTACGCTATTTACTGCGACAGAAACGCAATTTGAACTCAATTTAATACCGTTTTTAATTCTCTTTGCACCCATTTGCTTTATGGCGAGTAATGTTTGTAGAATATCATTTTAATTCATAACGTACTTTATTTTTATAATAATATTTTATCCATTTTGTGTTTTTCGGAAAATAAAAGCGTTCCCATAATTATTATTATTATTATTATTATTATCATTATTATTACTCTTATTATTATGTACAGGTGAGCAAGAGAGTTGACCAACTTTGTTCAACTCACTGTTTCTTGTACATAACTCGATTATTTTATCGTTTAATTAGTTTTAAAACTGGTTCATTGGTTTTTTAAAATTGTAAGAAATATGGCGATACTTTTTAAAATTAAAATTTTCATAGTTTTATATTTAAATTTAGTTTTTTTAATTAACGGCATTTACAGTACTAATACTAATAAATGTCCGTATTGCAGTAAAACATTTATCAACGTAGGTCGACATTCCTGGCGTTGTACTATGAATACAGGTAACACTAATAATAACAAAGTTGTTCGCTCTGCTGTTAAATCTAACGTTAAAATTTCAGCAAAAATTTACAACTCTAATTCTGTTGATACTGATGCAATTAACATTGAAAATAATAATAACTTAATATCGTGTTGCTGCGGTAAACGTTGTAAGGGGAGGAAAGGCTTAATTATGCATCAAAGGTCATGCAAAATGCATAAAACTTTGCAACTCCCGAAAGAAACCTCAGAAAACGAAGGTAGCACAACGCCACTGCCTGAGAGCCAAACCACATCAACAAACAGCCAACAATCGCTGCCGTCACCAGCCGTCGCGACTAACATACTTCCAGCTTCATCTAAAATCACTACCAGGAAACGACAATCTTGATGATTTTGTTGACGCGTTTCAATCTACAATCTATGGCTACTTTGCCCAGAATTATGGCACCATCAAATACAAATCACAATCTACCTGCTGACACAAACAAATCGGTCAAGGAACTAAAAAAAGAGCTAAAGCAACTAAAAATATTAGGCCAACACAAACACAACTTCGACAACCAGATCATCAACACCAGTAAGACCCTTCGTTCTAAACTACTGTCAATAAAACTTTCTAAACATAAAGGGAAAAAATTCACAATCACCACTCAACTAAAACAACGATTCTGGTGGGCATGCAAAAAAATATTTGCAACAACAAAAAAAAACATGACACCACTATTCAGCTCGATCGATTGTTAAAAATATTTCTTCAATATTCTAAACAACATCAACAAAAAGAAATATCAACTCCCTAATTGGGCACAAAACGTACCAGCGCCCACAACGCCCTGCAACATCAATCCTCCTACCTACCACGAAATATCTACAATAATCCGCAAATACAGATCAAAATCATCACCATGTCCGCTAGATCAGATCTCAATTATTCCATTTAAAAGATGTCCTATATTACGCACCTTTCTCCACAATTTGTTTACGCAATGTTGGTTGTCCTCTAGAATCCCATTATGCTGAAAGAAAGGTTTCACATTGCTTATTCACAAAAAAGGTGACGCACATGATCCGGCCAACTTCCGACCCATAACACTTCAACCTACGCTCTATAAAATATTTTCAACCTGCATTAACAACAAAATGTACAACTTTTTAGAATCAAACAACCTCATCAATAAAAACATCCAAAAAGGTTTTTATCCGAAGGTCGACGGACTGACCGAACATACCCAGCTATTATCACACATGATCAATGACGCTAAAAGACATCAAAAAACAATAATTGTCATTTTGTTGGATCTTAAAAACGCTTACGGCGAGGTCAGCCACGACCTAATCTCATCCACCTTAGACCATCATCATATACCGCCAATGATCGCTGATTTAATAAAATTCACATACGCCGACTACACCATATCAGTTTCGGGTTGCGATCAACTTACACCTCCTATCCGGGTCAAACGTGGCGTGCTGCAAGGGGACCCTCTTTCGCCTCTGCTGTTCAATTTGTGCTTCAATCCTTTAATGAAAATATTGGAAAAGCCTGAATATCAACAATGCGGCTACATTTGGGGACCTACAGCCAACTTGAAAACGAGAGCATGGATGCAGTTTGCCGATGATACGGCAATTATTGCTAACAGCACGGAAAGTGCTCAAAAGTTGATCGACATCAACCAGACTTGGTGTAACAAAACGGGTATGAAAATAAGAATAGATAAATGCTCATCATTCGGCATGAGGAAAAAAAATGGTGTTTACGAACAGTTCCTTCCAAAGCTGACCATAGACGATGGAACTATTCCTCAAGTCAAAATAGGGGGGCACTTCATATACCTTGGCAAAATATACGACTTTGAAGGAAAGGGCACAGAAGCCAAGAAACTGCTAATCGGTAAATTAAAAGGTTTGTTGTCGGTGGTCGGCGAACTAGATACGTCAGCACAATGGAAGCTCCAAATTTTAAGACGATACATAACATCACAACTGGCTTTTGAGCTTAGGACATACGATGTCTCGTTGACCTGGATTGGCAGCTACCTTGACCCATTGGTGGTAGAGGCAGTGAGAATGTGGCTGTCATTGCCAATCAGTAGTTGCCTGTCAGAGAGCTTAACACTTCCCTTCAAACTGGGTGGATTAAATGTTAGATCTCTCAAACATTACGCCGAATCTTTGAGGATCAAACTTCGCAACTATTTAAAAGCCAATGGAAACGAGGAGTTAAAATGCCTGTGGAGCGAATCGTTCAGCGACTTCATTAAAATCGACAATATGCTTCCTGACGTCAACGACATCAAATCGACGCTTAAAGCAATAAAAGAACAACAACAAACCGCAGCTTCGAATCATCTGACATCCCTTCAATGTCAAGGAACAATATTAAAATCAATTCAAGCACACATCCCAGCTGTTCGCATAGATCGTTTGTCGAGGTACGTAACATGCCTTCCGGAAGTTCTGTTTAAATTTGTCAGAAAAAGTTTAATCCAACAACTTCCGACAAACGCCAACCTTCAAAGATGAGGAAAATCATGCACTGCACAATGTCCTCTATGCAGCGCTTGCCAAACAAACACGTTTTATCAAATTGTGGCGCGGCGTCGGCACTGAAGCAATTTACAACACGTCACAACAAAATTCTTTCAATAATATTAGACATGTGAAATCATGCGCAGGC